TTATTCAAACCATAAAAATGTACAAAAAGAGGAGATAAAACACATTCCGGGTCAATGGATCACAGAAGGGGCAGGAAAGAAAAAAAAATCAGTTACAGACAATATACGTTAATAATTACAAGTTTAAAATTAGAATTACAAAAGCTGAAAATAATTTTCATACACTTGTTTATACCTAGCATTCTATATAGTATAGCTACAAGCTAGGGCAATTTCACTAAGCCTACTTCTATTTTTTTCGAATTTTTTCTCCATTTATTCTTAACAAACGTTTTATTCTTTCATTTTCAGGGCCTATAAGCCCTCTACTTTCAACCTCAACGTACATTAATTTACAGCTGTAACCCTTTTTGCTAATATCTCTAACTAATTCGTCATATTTATTACATTTTCTTTCGTGTGCTTTAGAAATATTAGGCTCAAAGGGGACTGATACTTCACAGAGCTTAATTGATTTCCCATTAATAACTGCGATACCTGGTTTTAAATAGCCAAAATATTAGTTGGGATAGTGCCTCCAGTAGTCGAATGTCCCGGCAAATTTGCATGAAGAGTTTCTGCATTTATATTTTCTTTAATAATTTTAGATATTTCATTGATAATGTAGTCATAGCGCCGCGTATTATTAATGATTTAAATGACATACCACCTATGTCTTTCAAAAGCTAGCAGACAGTGATGTCGTTGGCATGACCCATGAATATATGATTATTGTTCCGGAGGTAACATCTTTGTAGAAGGGTCAATTACAGAATTTGTAAAAAGTCATGTTATGATGACAGTTACTGGTAATGTTCCTCTTCTTTTTTTTTTTTTGCAATAACCAATATTAGTATTAGGTATGAAAAGTCAACAGTAGATATCTCAAATCAAGGCAGTCTGTAATACACAGTAGCTAAGCATCAATGTGTCTCTTTCTTTAATGCATCGTGATAATGTTTATTAATATCTTCCGACAATTGGAAGATGTGATGAATATAGCATATGTTCCCTTAACAATACCCGACTTTTTTTACTCCATTCTCCAAATGGATGTGCCATAGATGACTTGATTTTGCAAAAACATAATATCTTCCCTATACACATGGTTTATTTCTAATTCCTTTGGATGTCATATCAATTGAATTTTTTATCCTTCAGTAAATCTTCAACATTATATCTGTCGAATTTTAGCTGAGTTGCATTGTTTTATCTCGTTTGTAATTTTCAATCTGTGCCCTTGATTTTTGTAATTATTTAAGATTTATATAATTATTTATCTTATCAAACTCAAACAATTAGCAAAGAGAAAGAAATATATATAATATATATATATATATATATTATTATTATTATTATTATTATTCTTTTGAACTCAATATCTAAAATAACTTGAATTCTCTTAATATATACAAAAAAATGAACAATAATGATATAAAGTCCAGTTCAGTGGCCACAGACAAAAATATTTTTTTTCCAAAAATCACGATCTTCAGCTTTATATCTTAATTCTGTTGAACCGTCTAAAGATTGTATTTAGCGACTTCTTAGTTGAATATATTTCTGTAGACTAGATAGCAGACGAACTTGATGCTTGCCAACTCAACCACGTTTAGTTGCCATTGATTGTATAGCATGTGCTAGGGCAAGATCTGCAGGAGTATTTTCATCACTTCGAAGTACATGTTCAAGCATTCTCCAATGAATATTACCCAAAAGACAGTGGTACTGTTTTACAGAATTTATATAACGCAACATTTGGTATTACAGCTTTAGGCCACTGAATTTTGAGGATGGCTCTTAAGTGCTTGCTGTGACATATATCGAGTTTTTCCAAATAGGACTTTTGTGCGGCCCAGGAATCAGAATTATACAACATGACTTTATAATCTGTGCTTCGTAAATTTGTAACTTTTTTGTTAATGATATTTTTCTTCCAATGAGCCAGGTTTTCTTAAAGTATTTCCTGAAAGCTGCATTTCCTAAATTACACCTATACAGGATATCTTCATTACTACATAATTTTGGTCCAAATGAAATAGATGTTATCCATGGTTCAAAATCTTTCAAAGGTTTCCCTTCAACACATAAACTAATTTAGGTTTAGACTCATTCACTTGTAAATTCAATTCATTAAACACATCAGGACATTGATTCAATAATCGGTTTAGATTACCAAGATTCATATCTATGAAATCTGCATCGTCTGCATACTCAAATTCCAGGGGCATGCAATCATGTTATCATTATTAGTCATGTTATTATTAGTCAGGTTATTATTATTATTATTATTATTATTATTATTATTATTATTTATTTATTTATTTATTTATTTATTTATTTATTTATTTATTTATTTATTTATTTACTTTAATTATTTATTCACCTATTAGCTTTTTGGTTTTTCTTTGGGCATTTGTTATGTGTGTGTGTGTGTGCTGTCTCTTATACACATCTAGATGTGTATAATGAGACAGGTAATACACAGTAGCTGTATTATATATGTGTATATGCTGTCTCTTATACACATCTTGTGTGTGTGTGTTTGGTGTTGAGTGTGATTCCTTATTCAATTTACTTAAATTTATTTATATTACTCGCTGTTGTTGGCATTGGTCATTGTTTTGTACTTGGCCTTGTATTTTTTTTCTTACTTCAGACACCTTGATTTACAAGCTCTTCTGAGTTTTTTTTTTTTTTTCTTTTTTTGTTTTATCATTGTATTTTTATATTTATGCTTTTTGTCTATTTTATTGCTGATGAATAAATGAATAAATAAATCATTGCTTATAGGAGGGTTTGGACGAAATTTTGTAACAGATCAAAGATGATTTAATGCTCTGGCAAGAACCATGTTAACACGTTGGCTGCCATCGACGAGTATACTCGCCCCCTAATATTTCCCGCCAATTTATTAGACACTTCATTTTGATGACATATGACTAGATAAAATTTCAAAAAAGCATGTTTGTACATGTAAACTTGTTTTGGCACACGGGAAGGAACCTTAAAAAAGGTCTGGCAGTCAACGTGTTAAACAAAGTGCCAAAAATACCATCGCCTTGAAAGGATCCCCGTGTTACTACAGATACAGATTTTACATTATTAACTTTTCCTCTTAATCTAGTGTTTGCTAACAAATATCTGACTATTCTTATATCATCTTCACTGCATCCTGCATATTTTTAAAAAAATGTAAAATAGTGCTCCTCTTCACAGTGTCAAAAGCGGCAGTCATATCTATGGCCATCTTCTGGAACTCGAAATCTTTTTCAGTAAAAACACTAATCAGCATACGTTCAGCCCATACAATGGTTGCACAACTGAAACCACACTAATACCCACTTTGATAAGGACCAGTGTATTCTGATACCTTATCTTCGATTCTTTGAAGAGCAATTTGAAAGAATTTTTCGGCAATAATTTAACAAACAAATAGTTCTTCACAGAACCCAAGGGGGTTTTTTTTAGGTTTTTGTAAAGGAATCAGCGTTCCCTCACCAATTGCATCAACATAACTATTGGTCTCAAAACACTTACTCAAAATACCACCAAAATATATTTACTTCCATTCTTCTATTTGTTTGCTGCAATCTTTACTTCTTTTGTAGTTATAGGTACATTCAAACTTCTAGGTTCTCCTTCAAATGGAAAGACAGCCGTTTTCATCACCAGTGAAATGTTCTCTAAACCAATCACGAACAATATCGCCTTCTTAAAATAAATTTTAATGAATTTTCCATCTTGATTCTGAACACAGATTGGCTTCTTTTTACCCATGCTATTCAGAACTTTCACGGCTTTAAACATTCTACGAGAATCATTTGACTCTTTTGGATTTTTCTCTTTATTAGTTTTATTTTTTCAGGTTGATCTTCTCTATTTGTGCACCCCTTTTGCTAAATCCTGTATCCTGCAAAGTTATGACCGTTTGAATAATTATCATCTAATCAACTTTCTTAAATCAAGTTTTGAGAAAAATGCTTTTATTTTCGGCAGGTTTCTATTTATTTTTCACTAGCTCCCATCCGAAAATGGCAAAATTTTACCTTTTACAGTTGGAATTTTAAACTAAAACTTCAGAAATAGTAAGATTAAAAGTAATACTATATTTATTACACAAAAACCCAATTCATACAAAATTCATGTGCTACACCCTATTCTGGCTATGGAGGCTTGTTTCTCAATACAGTGTGGTGCGAGTTTACAGCCCTTTTGTGAGATTGGGTTACATATATGTTTATAAATATATATATATATATATATATGTATATATATATGTACATATATATATGTATATATATATATACATATGTATACATGTGTGTATTATATATGTGTATATGTATACTTATATATGCATACTTATATATATATATGTGTGTGTATGTGTGTAGATATATGTATGTATGTATGTATATCTACACACACCCACACACACCCACATATATACACATATATATATATATGTATATACACACACATATATATTATACACACATATACATACACATATATATATATATATATACACACACACACATACACACACGTAGCTTTACACAAACTAAATCTCAATGAGTTGTTTTGGTCTCAACAATTCTGCAACTACTGACAGGGATTAAACCCAGGACCCTGGGATTGGAAGGCAAGCATCTTTCACCAAGCTGGCTATTCAACTCCACTCCATATACATTTAAATTTAAAATTGTTTTGCATTATGTGGCCATTTGACGTTTTTATAGGGGTTTTTTTTTTTGCCTATTTAAATTTTTGAACTGATAATGAACAATTTGTTAAACAGAATAGGCTACGAGTATAAATTGTTCAAATATTAAGCACTGTTTCGGATACCTTTTATATTCACATTGCTACCCATTACTTTAATGTATCACATATATTTACACAATTACTGAGTAAATGTTAGGCCTGTACTTACATTTAATAAATAATTTGTTTTTAATTTAACAAACTTGTGGTTTCCTATGTGTATTAGATTTGCACTCTATTGCCTTACTTACCTTGAATATTACGAACGTGCTCAACGATTACATTCTTCATATCCTGTTTTCTTAATAGTTTTCTGATTAGAAATACCTGTATATTTAAAAGTTATTCAAATATATCAGTATGCACAATCGAATGTATGAATTACAGGACAACGTAAGAATGTATATCGAAAATGGAAATTAGGGGAAAATCATATTTCTGAGGTTGAACATTATAAATATCTAGGAATTTTTATATCCAGATCCATTAATGACACAACACATGTTGATGAAGTGATTAAAAAAGGGAAAAAAATATATCTTACATTAAATCCATTCTTGATGAACAGGAAGACTTTAATAGGGTTTAATATGGGGACCTTCTTTGGAAAACCATAGGACTTCCAACTATTAATTTTTCCTGTTCCATTTGGTTATGTAATAGTCGCTCCTCTACTGAAAAAATTGAGAACCTAGGGTATTTATTGGCAAGACTGATTTTAAAAGCGCCAAAAAAAATATTGCAAAAGAGGCCCTTTATAGTGAACTTGGATGGCAGTCGCTTGAATCCCTTCAAAATAATTATAGAGTGTCACATTATCACCGTGTTCTAAATATGCACGAATCTATGTGGGCTAATTTAATACTGAAAGCAATCAAAGCACTTGACGGTAATTTGAACAGTGGTGGCGCCAGGACCTGCCCGACGGAGGGGCTAAAGGCCCCGACGGGGGGGGGGCTAGTGAAGCGAATCGAGTCTCACTTGGGTGGGGGCCAGGGGGCCGCTAGGGCCCCTGGAAGCCACGGATATTTGATGAATTATGGCGAATTTTTATTAATTATTTTATAGGCATCGAGTTACTATAATATGACTCCATGTAGGCTATGCTTTCTAATGTTGAAGTCAGCTTCCAAGACCAAAACATTTTTAATGAAACAAGGAACAAAGAGTATGCAATGTAACCATCCATAATATAAGTGAAATTCTATATTTTGTTGGAAAATTTGCATGAAATCTGTCAACCACGCTTTCATGGTCGTGGTTGCTTCACCTATCACGATGTATTCCAACCATCATAAGGCTATCTAAATGAGCATTTGTCAAACAGAACGCAAATTATTTTTAATTAGTTTCATTGAATTATTATTATTATTATTATTATTGTTATTGTTATTGTTGTACAGTTGTGATGAAAAGTTAACACAAACAATATGGTGGCTAAACGAATATTACATGTAAATATTTTTTTTATTTGGTTGTTCCCCGACAAAACCTATCGTCTTCCCCGACGGGGTGTGGGGGGGGGGAGGGCATTTACTGAAATTGCACTAATATTGAATATTCATCATACAGCTATTAGTATCTGCCTACGGTATACGATAAACCTATTATTTAAATGGTCCTCCTATCCACACCCTACTTCGAACTGTGACCAAAATTTATACACTTCTTCATTACAAGACAAACTATTCTGGAAAGTGTCATTTTTATCTATTGATCCATTTTTGAGTTATTTAGGTTTGGGACTTAATGGCACTTAAATGCACACCCGTAATTGTATCTTCAGCAACACTTCGTAACTTCTTCCTTGTAACTTGAATGAACTTTTACGAAAGTTTCATTCATATCAGTTGTTTAATTTTCGAAATATCTGGTCTGGGACGTTTTCCTTTGAATGGTCCTCATATTCACACCCTACTCGCACTGTCACAAAAATGTTATACTTTCTTTATTAGACTTTGACAAAAAGAATAATTACCTCATCCTTGTGTCATACATAACAATCCCTGTAACTTCCATTTAAGATATGTGTGCAGCTGCTTTTCAGATAATTTTGAACACAAAAAACACCCAAGACCCTAGAACTTTAAATGACCCTCAAGTTTACGCCCCAATTTACTACTACGATTTTATCGTTTTCCCAAGATTATGATGTTATATGATATGATTTGTGAAAATATTTTTTATCGTATATATACACGATAAATCGTTATCGAATCGTGCTAGTGTGAAAACCTTTCGTATTTATATATTTATTATATTGTATTTTATCTTATTTCAAATATATACATATGTGTGTATATATGTTTATGTATGTATGTGTGTGTATGTATGGGGGGGTGTAGGGGTGTGTGTGTGTGAGGGGCTGTGTATGGGGGTGTAAGTGTATGTGTGTATGTGGAGGTGTATGTATGGGTGTATATGTATGGGTGTATATGTATATGTGTTTATGTGTATATGTACAGTATGTCAAATTTTAAATCGCATATTTTGTTGAGGTAGGCCAATTTCCTCTAAAAATTGCACATTTTAGGGAGTTTTGATCAATTCCGACGAAATTAGAATTTAAAAAACAAACATTTTTCGCGCGCTTCGCGGGCAATTTTTATGTTAAAGCTTGTGCTTGCTCCCCTTTGCCTTCTAAGTTATAACACATAGTCCCAAACTCGAGAAAGAAAATTTAAGATAGATCGTTTTACCTATTAAAGAAGGGCCTCAATGTGTAATGATGTTGAAAGAATATGTTTGTAATAAATAAAGCCATAAGGAAAATGCTTATATTCAGTTTTAAAAAACG